ATCAAAAACGGGAAAAGTGCGCCTCAACTACCCACCAATGCACAAAAGCGAGAGATTGCACGATTTGGGTTCACCACCAGTGATAATAATTCTAGCAGTTGAGGTTGGCCAGCAGCAGTAGAGGAGGCTAATTAATGAGTACGTTGTCTTTCAGAAGTAGCAGCTAATGCAAGGGAGGAACAGAGGCGTTCTGATGTTGCTGCTGCTGCCAGCACCGCTGAAAAACCACAAAATGTGGAGCGGACGAAGGAAAAGGTGAAATTTGGTTCTCTGCTGGACATGCTCCTCCTGTCATCAGCTTGCTTATAAGCAACCCTCAAAAGAGAGGCCCTGTGACAGTTTTACCAGCGAGTGGTTGCTGTTGGCATTTGCTAGCACCTGAGTTCAAGGTTGACTCAAGGTGCGGGGCGAATGCATCATTAACGACAGCTTGATGAACCGAGTGCTTAAGCAGAATCCAAAGCATCAGATACTACCAGAAGCAAATGAAGGCGAAAGAATGAAGCGAAAAGCGGGAAAAAATCCGATTTTGGAAGTAGGCAATTGCATCTGCTAGGTCCGGTAACTGAGGATTGTCACCAGGCATCGGCAGTGTTATGTCCCTTGGGACATAAATCGAGTTCGGTTTTATTAGAGCAATGGAAACAGCAATACTTGCACAATAGGTTAAGGAGAAGTGGTGATTTTTATTTAAAAATTTGATGATCGATTGGCGGACGGAACATGAGAGATAATCGCAGCAGTGGTTTTTGAGGTGTTGCATGCTGCCAGATATCATAGCTGAGATTGAACGACGGTCAGGATTGGGCGCCGGTCAGGAACGATAAAAAATTGATGCATTTGCGTCGCAGTAACAGATGCGAGTCTTTAAAAAGGTCTGGGTAATTGGCCAGTGCACCTAATGTGATTCTTGCACATCCATCCGCAGGTTTTTAGTCGTTAACGGCACTTTTTTTCCGGTAGATGCTTCTAGCTAAAAAGAATTGAGGTTGGTCGCCTGGACTGTCAGGGAAGATCTCATCAAAATTTTAGCTTTCTAGCTTTTCTGGTTCCCGAATTAAAAGACCCCGAAGATAATAAAGGTGAGGAGTTTGTTCTTCACCACTCCTTATTCCCTGTCAAAAAAGAACTATGCTTGTTGCTTTAACTTTGGGAGCTCCACACCAGTAAAAGCACATGAAGCTAGTAGCACCAGTAATCTTTTATTGTTGGTTTTTCGTTCTCCACTGGGCTTAAATTTTAGTTTTCCCTATAGGAAATTGTTAGCCTTTTTTTGAAGAATGATACGGCATCGACGATTTTACCCAAGGTTGGGCAGCAGCCACAGCAGCAACAGATTTCTGCATCACAGCAACAACCTGCAGCACCGGAACCGTCGCAGCTGCTTCCAAATGTGAAAGGTAAATTTGATTTAAGTAGGGGGCAGTGTAAATTTGATTTAAGTAGGGGCAGTGTAAATTTGATTTAAGTAGGGGGCAGTGTAAATTTGATTTAAATAGGGGGGAAATCCTCATTTTATCCGGTAGATGCTCAATTTTAAAGTATGAAGATGCTGCTTTTTGCCGTCCAAGAACAGGGGATGCGAAGAGTTTTCGCTTTTCACTTCCAGAAATTTTTTGCATGGATGTGGCGCCTGAGGTTAGGGTTTTGTGAGAGCATTGTGCTTATATTAGTCTTAAAAAATTACTTCCGTTTATTATTTGCTTTGAAGAAAAAACGAAAACTCCTTGCTTTTCTTAAAAAATAATTTTGAACTTCAGAAGTTCAAAAAAAGTTCAAAAAAAAAAAAAAAACTTTAGAAGAGAAAATGGATACAACAGCCCCAAAAGAAGAGAACACTGCTG